TGTAGTTGTAGGCTAGGTTGTAGAGTAGATAGGGTGTCTGGCGTCATTCACAAGAGAGAGCTACATTTGGGTTATGCCTGTCTCTTATACACATCTAGATGTGTATAAGAGACAGGAGAGGGGGAGAGAGAGGGGGAGAGAGAGGGGGAGAGAGAGGGGGAGAGAGAGAGAGAGAGAGAGAGAGAAAGAGAAAGAAAAGAGAGAGAAAGAAAGAGAGAGAGAGAGAGAGAGAAAGAAAGAGAGAGAGAGAGAGAGAGAAGGAGAGAGAGGGCTGGTTTCCAATCAACAAAGTGAATCGCCAATAATTACTGCATTTACTCTAATTTACTTTATTTATGAGAATTTTCCTTTTATGAGAATTATCCCTCCGTCTGCCCGCCACATTTCTCTCATCTCCTCGACGCCGTCGCCAACGCTTCACGATCGGCCAGAACTTTACGTCGGGATATGATCGTCGGGACGCGATCGCCGGCGCAGCTTTGTCCTTCCCCCACACACTCAGATGGATCCTTCTTCTTCACATCATCAACACAATCAACACAGAGAACGAGGGATCAATACACACAAACAGTCCTTCCCGCGCGCGCGATGCCCTTCCCCGAGCGAATAGCTGACCGCCACAGGAACTGTGAGTATAGACGCGCGCGCGCACATAAGGTGGCAGGCAGAACCAACAAAACTGTAATACCGAAGCGAGCGACAAGAAGAAGACGCGCTACCAAAAAAAAAAAAAAAAAAGACGCGCGCGACGATTCAAGAGGACTCCGGTCCCTTGTTTGTTGTCCTCTTCTCCCTCCCTCCCTCCCTCTCTGCCTACTACGGTTTACCGGGCAGCAGCTCTGTTTGTATTATTTATATATATATATATAAATATGAACAAATCAACAAATTTTATTTTTATTTTATATATAAAATAAAAAAGAACGTCTCGATCGGAGCAATACAGAGAGAGTCCTTCCAGTTACACTCCAGGATTACGGCGAACCACAGGATTACGGCGAACCACCTGGGCCCAATCGCCGCCAGATTCAGTCAGAAAAGGTAATCACGCCATCCCCAGCCAGACGCCAGCTGACGGAGTGACTAAGGTAGATAAGTAGGACTGACACCCCTGAGGTCTCACTCAGACAGAGACGGCGAATTGGACTGGTATCAGGACGTGAATGCAGTCAGGTGCATCCGGCACTGCGAGGCATGGGCGTGGTCGATCTAGCGGTCCTTCCGCCGTCAGATTGATGATCCATCAACCGCCCGATCGAAAAGCCTTCGTCGTTCAGCGCTCTCTCTGCCTACGGTGGAGATATACTGAACGACCGGTCGTTCGTGCGTGCAGACAGACGGACGACAGGAACCAAAGCGTGAGCGCCAACCGTAAACTCGCGGATTGCGCAAACGGCGGCAAACGGCAGCAAACGGAGTGGGGGGCATTCAGCAGCCGCCGTAAAAAAAGGAGTCAGTCGCGGCGGCGCTTGATCGGTCAAATCAAATCAATCAAAACGATCAGATTAATCAATCAATCAATTAACGAATCCAATCAACATCCAGCCTTCTTCGCGGCAATTTCCGAAGTTACCCGCTTTTGGATACCAAGATCCCGCCCCCTCCTGAGACGCCACCGCGCACCCACCCACCCCCTCTTCATAAAACGCAAACTAGACGTCGCTTGATCATGTGGCCCATGCTTGCTGGGTATCGAGCCCCCATTGTGAATGTCACGTGGAAGGAGAGGTGAAAATACCCCTGCCAAGACCCATTGAAGCGAGAAAGGAGAGGTGGAATGGGAGGAAATATACAATGGGAGAGAAAGAGAGATATAAGAAGGGGGGGGGGGGAGAGAGACACAGAGAGAGAGAGAGAGAGAGAGAGAGAGAGAGAGAGATGGGCACAGGTCGGATAATCAGCAGCCTTCCTGTGGTGCAAACGACTCTGCGTGATGAGTCGAAACAACCGGTTCCTGTGCTCCTCGAATGCGCCATGTTTCCTGGGCCAACGTGCCCCGAAAGGGGGCGGTACCACGTGGCCCCGTGGGGGGTGTTCCACGTGCGCCCATTGTTTTTCCTGGGCTGGATAAGAAGGAGGCTATGTGCCTAGCTCCAGCACTGACCACATGCACAAAGGCCAAAAGATATGGCGCTGTATCTTTCGATGTTCTAACGGAAGATTCATTCATTTTCATTTTGCACATTTGGCGACCAGCAGTGCAGCGAGGTCCTCCGTCGCAGACGATGTAATACGTTCCTGCCTTTTTCCGCCCAAAACAAATGGGAAAAGGAAAAAGAACAAAAAAGCGGGCCCAGGCGGGAGCTTGACTCCATCTGACCCCTGGGATCAGGTGCCACTTGCAAGGAGGGAGGGATTCTTCGTTCCTGGCCATCGATCTTCATAATCTACAGCCAGAAATGCAGAATCAGCCAGAAATGCAGAATCCGGGTAAGGGCGTCGCCACACCACTCTCGGGATGTGCAAAATGAGAATGAACTTCCGGCTAGAAAACATGGCCAGATGTCCCCGCCACATTATTCGCAGCCCGTCAGGGTTGCGTTTTCCCCCCCTGAGATTTTCAACGTCACTCAGATTTCAACGTCGGTGGTCGTCGGGAGGGTGGGCATTTTGAGGTTTTGGGGCTTTCAAGGGCCAGGGACACGAAGGACCGGTAGCTGCCCTTAGGAGGCCGAGGAGGCCTTTTTCGAAAATTGAAAAAGTTCTGGGTGCACTCTTCTCGAATAGCAGATTTCCTCGAGTAGAAAACGTACACCTTGTATTCGAACACAACGTGTACCCTTTCTATTCGGATTTCGAAAATAAAAAATTGTCTACCGCGTGGGCGTGGGGAACGCAGCCCTAAGGTAGCGAAATCAATGAGACTAAAAGCTAACACAAGAGAGAGAGAGAGAGAGAGAGAGAGAGAGAGAGAGAGAGAGAGAGA